CTTGTGCCAGACAGTTAGCCAAGTTATGAATGCAATGGAAAAGTTCTTGAAGGAAATTAAAAGTGCTAACTCCAGTGAACACGTGAATGATAAGAAAGCAAAACAGCCTTATTGCTGAGATGGAGAAAATTTGAGTGGGCTGAGGGAAGATCAAATCAGCAGCAACATTCCCTTAGGCAAAGCCTAATCCAGAGCAAGTCCCTAACTCTTTTCAGTTCTATGAAGGCTGAGGGGCATGAGGAAGCTGCAGAGGAGTTTGAAGTTAGCAGAGATTGGTTCATGAGGTTTAAGGAAAGAAGCTATCTCCCAAATGTAAAAGTGGAAGGGGATGCAGCAAGGGCTGACAGGGAAGCTGCAGCAAGTAATCCAGAAGATCTAGCTTAGATCACTGATGAAGGTGGCAACACTAAATAATAGATTTTCAATGTAGATGAAACAGTCTTCTGTTTGAAGAAGATGCCATCTAAGACCTTCACAACTACAGAGAAGTCAATGCCTGGCTTCAAAGCTTCCAAGGACAGGCTGACTCTAATGTTAGGGAGTAATGCAGATGTGACTTTAAGTTGAAACCAATGCTCATTGACCATTCTGAAAATCTTAGAGCCCTTAGGAATTATGTTCAATGCTCTATAAATGGAACAATAAAGCCTGGATGAAAGCGTTAATACATCAACTTACGGCATAGTTTACTGAGTATTTTAAGCCCACTATTGAGACCTACTGCTCAGAAAAAAAAGATTTCTTTCAAAATATTATCACCCATTGACAATATACCTGGTTACCCAAGAGCTCTGATGGAAAAGCATAAAGGGATTTATGTTGTTTTCATGCCTGCTAATACAACATCCATTCTGTAGCCCATGGATCAGGAGTAATTTCAACTTTCAAGTTTTATTGTTTAATAAATACATTTTTTAAGGCTATAGCTGCCATAGATAGTGATTCTTCTGATGGATCTGGGAAAAGACAATTGAAAACCTTCTGGAAAGAATTCACCATTCTAGATGTCATTAAGAACATTTATGATTCATGGGAGGAGGTCAGAATATCAATATGAATAGGAGTTTAGAAGAAGTTGATTCCAACCCACATGGATGACTTTGAGGGGTTTAAACTTCAGAAGAAGTTACTGCAGATGTGATGTAAACAGTAAGAGAATTAGAATCAGAAGTGGAACCTAAAGATGAGACTGCAATCTCATGATAAAATTTGAATGGATAAGGAGTTGATTTTCATAGATGAGCAAAGAAAGTGGTCTCCTGAGATAGAATCTACTCCTCATGAAGATTCTGTGAATACTGTTGAAATGCCAACAAAGGATTTAGAATATTTCATAACCTTAGTGGATAAAGCAGCTGCAGGGTGTGAGAGATTGACTCCAATCTTGAAAGAAGTTCTACTGTTTGATCTACTATCAAACAGCAACTCATGCTACAGAGAAATCATTTGTGAAAAGAAGAGTCAATCAAGGCAGCAAACTTCACTGTTGTCTTATTTTAAGAAATTGTCACAGCCACCATAGCTTTCAGCAACCACCACTCTGATCAGTCAGTAGCTGTCAACATCAGGGCAAGACCTTCCACCAACAAAAATATTACAACTCACTAAAGGCTCAGATGGTTGTTAGCATTTTCTAGCAATAGAGTATCTTAAAATTAAAGTATGTATATTGTTTTTAGGCATAATGCTATGGCATACTTCATAGACTACAAAATAGTATAAACACAACTTTTATATGCAGTGAAAAACCAAAAAAATTGTGTAACTTGCTTTATTGCAATACTGACTTTACAGTGGTGGTCTGGGACTGAACCTGTAATATATCTGAGGTATGCTTGTATATATGTGTGTGTGTGTGTGGAGAGAGAGAGTATATATGTGTGTGTGTGTGTGGAGAGAGAGAGAGAGAGAGAGAGAGAGAGAGAGAGAGAGAGAGAGGGAGGGAGGGAGGGGAGAGAGGCAATGCCTATTTCACAGATTACTGTGAGGATAAAATTATATAATATATTCAGAAGCCATTCCAGGTTCAAGTATAGAAAAGTATTCAAGGCTTAAAATTCAAAGGTGTACTCATGTACTGAAGTACACTGAAAAATCTTGCAGGAATTAGCCTGTTGATGTGTTCCTGATATGATGGACACACTAAAGAGAAAATACTGTATCATAAATATGGAGTAAAGATGGAAAGAAACACTGCCTAATGTAGATATCATTGACATCATTTAAGACTCTTAGGGTCCCATAGGCAAAGCAGGGAGTAAGTGTAAATGCTGCAGTTGGGGTACAAGCTCAGTGTGTTTGAGGAAAAGAAAGAAAGCCAGCTTAGCACTCTGAGAGGCCAAGGCAGGCAGATCATTTGAGCTCAGGAGTTTGAAACCAACCTGAGCAAGAGCAAGATCCCGTCTCTACTAAAAATAGAAAGAAATTAGCTTGGCAACTAAAAATATATAGAAAAAATTAGCTGGGCATGATGATGCATACCTGTAGTCCCAGCTACTTAGGGGGCTGAGGCAGGAGGATTGCTTGAGCCCAGGAGTTTGAGGTTGATGTGAGCTAGGCTGACACCATGGCACTCTAGCTGAGCAACAGAGTGAGACTCTGTCTCGAAAGAAAGAAAGAAAGAAAGAAAGAAAGAAAGAAAGAAAGAAAGAAAGAAAGAAAGAAAGAAAGAAAGAAAGAAAGAAAGAAATCCAGCAAGATGGAAGTGGGGGAGAAAGTTCAGGAGCATTCCCTGACTACTTTGGGACATTCTTATCACTTTCCTCTGAACTCCCTTGGCATTTTCTCTCTTACTCACTTAGCTTTTGAGTATATAATCTTGCATTATTCCACTTTCAGTGTGTAGCATACACTTTTACTGAGTGCTCTTTGATGGATTTCATATTTGGACTCTATATCTTAAGATTCCTTTGTGCTCTCCACAGCACTTAGTGAAGCGCTATGTACATAATAGGTACACAACAGGTAGTATAGTATTCAGGGGAGCTCAATTATATAAACTACCCTTCCCAGAAAAAAAAAAAAGACTAAACTTAATATCTGTAGGGGTGGATGTCCTAAGTAGGAAGTGGCCCTGTAGTTAGCTCATTGTAGTAGTGATGAGTTTGGGTCTTCTATATTCACTGAACCTTTTTCCATGTTGATATCTAACAGAGTTCATTACATGACTACAATTCACTAAAAGTATGTTGAAACTCATCAAATGTAAACTTAAGATTTGTGGAGGTCATTATGTTAGAGTAAGAAAATAGGAGACAGTGCTGAAGCCAAATGTATGGGCTCGAAGATTGGTTGCAGATGTTAAAATAAACAACTTGTAAGCAAAAGCTAATTAGAAGAGCTGATAACTGTAGGCAAGAACCAGCTTCAACCAGCTTTTTAGCTATCTTTGCCACCTTACATAAACTTTGGCTAATTACAATATCATTTACATGGTGGTTTAATATTTTTTCTACCCTTGAAATCATCATGACCTACTGAAACAACCATATAAAATATAAAAATGGGAAGGAACACAATTATAGGAATTACTACCCAATGTCTTAGTAAAAGCCAACCCCTTGTCCTTGAATATTCCTCTCCTCAGTTAGCAAAGCTACAAAAGATCTAAAACCACTTCCTCCCAGTGCAGCTTTTTCAAGCCATCGCATTCTTTCCTGAGAGTGTACTTTTCACTTTCAATAAAAGCTGTTGTTTGCTTGGCTTAGGTGGTGCATCCTAAACTTATTTTCCCGACCAATCACCAAGAATTTGGAAAAACCTCCACTTGGAGGCCAGTGACAATTGAGTGCAAACTTCTCCTCAAAAGAAAAAAGAACTGTAAAGAAAGCTTGCATTCTAGTTAATGATGTGCACACAAGTATTTAGGGAAAAGAATACTGATGGCTATAACTGACCTTGAAATGCATCAAAAAATAATGTGGATTTACAGATGGATGGAAAGATGGTGAGATGTGTAGTAAAGTGTAGTAAAGTAGTAGAATCAAGGTGATGGGTAATTGGATATGTATTGTAAAATTATTTAAGATTTTCCATATGTTTGAAATTGTTCATAATATATTATGGGGAAAAGTTAGTTGAAATTGATAACTAGAAAAATTACATTAACAAAAGTATTTAGTTTATAGCCATTGTACTTTCAGTTTTACATATCTGAACTTTCAGGAAATCTTCTAATTCTTACATAGGACACAGATTTAGTCTATCGATTTATTACTTTGAAAAGTGCCCCAGCAGGTATTGTAATCAATTCAACTTTCTATTGCATTCATTAATTATAAGTTTTGGTTATGTTTACTTATACTTTCCAAATAATGGCTATGTCCCTGATAAAATTTACTTAGCTATAAAATTCAGAAAAAAACAGTTAAAATATTCAATTATTAAAATTATAATGCTTTGTGATACTTAATAATTAATTTTTAAAATTACATTTTACATATTGAGCAGTACATTCTGACATTAGCATTTCATTATGAATGATACCAAAAAGTACAGTGAACAGAATAGACCAACAGTCTCTCCCTGTCTCTCTCTCTCTCTATCTCTCTGCATTCCCATATTTCTCTTCTCCCATTTTTTTCTTTCTTTTTCTGATGCAGAGAAATTGTATAGCTTAGGTAAGCATGAAATTTAAATGAGGGAAAATTATCAACATTAGTGCAAGATTAAAATTCTTGAACTAGATTTGTCTTTTTTTAGAATAAAATATCTAAGAAACTGAAGCACAAATATGCTACTGTATGTATAATATAAAGATGAACAATTTTTCTCAATTTGTACAACTTTTAGTTTCTACCTTTCTTCATCATTTAAGTTCTAGACAGTTTATTTGAATGTATTCTTTTTGTAGATGATAAATTGTTCATCAGTTTTTCTTTTAAAATGACAGAATGCATGTATACTCTCACATTAATATTTTTTTACTCTAGGAAAAATGAATGGAATGCCTATCTGAAATATGCTTTTAACTTTCAGTTTGTATTGGTGATAATTTATACCTTTGAAGGAGACTTGGAGTGACAACACAGACTGGTCCAATCTATGGAAAATGTTTCAAGTCGATGGAAGTTCTAAGTTTTGAGTAGGTCTACCCAGCTGTCAATAAATATGAGAAATAAGCTCAGAGTTGTATATAAATGAATAGGTTGCATGCATTTTAAGGCAGTCTTACAGAAACACACTGAGAGATCTGGCATTCTTAAAACCAAACATATGTCCTATCAACATTCCTAGTACAAAGTTTTTGTTACTATTTCTGTGCTCCAAGTAGCCCCATGTAAAGGCATATCATTGAACCAAAGCATATTGAGGTGGCTATTCAGTTATGTTGAGCTATGCTGCAATATCATTTTGCTACTGCTTTACCTATTTCTACACATTCACCAAAGGAAATTTCTACTCTAGAAATTATACTGTAGCAAAGAGAGAATTAAATACATGAAGCTAGATTCCATTTCTCCCTACATATCAATATGAAACAGTGCTATTGTCTGTTTCCTGAGACTGCTGAATCAATAAAACATATGTACCTATGCCTTAAGGAAGCAGTAACTCTTTAAATTGCCCTTTATATTTACAATTACTTAATTACTTTATTTTGCCAAAAATAAAGGTCATTAAAACCATCTTGAGCTTGACTTAAATTTTAAGAAGTAGCCTGCAAGTTGTATAGTCTTTAACTATGTTCCATTTAACACATTTAATAGATGTAAAAGCTCACAAGTGATGATATAAAGGATAATTTACGCTTGCAATGCATTTTTGTCCAATTAATAGATTGCCTCTGTGTTGCATATTTTGCATGACAAAAGAGCAGAATATTAAACTGCCATTCATAATGAAAATGCACTTTGCAAATTAAAAGTGCCGAAACAGAAATTTTTCACCCTGTTTAGGAAATAAACAGTCCTTAACCAATTAAACTGCATTGTAATAATTCTATGATTTATTGCAAGTTGTTTAACTTTCAAAACTCGGCTAACCCATATTAAGGTCACAATCCATCATGTCTTGCTTGGAAAGCCAGCAAATAATGGCTGTTGTATTAGCTGCTTTTGATGATAGTATGAAAGAAGTATTAGCACTTGTCAACAAAACTGCTTACAACATAACATTAGCATGCATGGGCTGCTGTACCTATTTATTATTCTGGCAGCTTCACACATATTGTTACAAGCTTATAAAACATTTTGTCGGGTGGAAACCGAATGTACACTGTTTGGTTTTCTGATAGACTGGCAGCATAAATGTCTGGGCTGACTTAGTTTAGTTTAAGTGTAAATAGAGACACAAATTCTTCAACCTGTTCTCTTATTGATACTGAAAAGTGCTGAATTATTCAGCATCCAACTCTTCTGTTTGTGTCTATCACAGTTATCAATTACCCATCAGTCTTCTTGTCAAAACAGAATGGATTAATCTGGCTGAAAATAAGACAAATAAATGGATACTATAACAGGGGTGTGGGGTTGCCAGACTGTCAAAGGGAAATCCAGGCAGTGACATTTGCCGTCAAAAATGGGATCTCTGGCTTAAGTGAGCAAATGATTCCCCTTTGCGAGCCAAGAATGCACTTAGCTCACCGTAAGTAAATTAATCTGCCTTTTTCAACTGCTAATGCATTAGCACTGAGGTAATAGTTCGATTGCCGAAATTCCTCTGTGTTTCAATAATTTTGGTCATTGTTATAGTTTCTCACAGGAAATGCAGATACATTCAGATACTTTATCTTGGTAAACACAGGGTTGCCTGGTCAATAAATGCACCCATTTACCAATAAAGTTATTGCTGATGGTTTTGTGCGCTTCATAGCTCTCAGCTGATGTGATACCAAGTAACTCTTTGCACAGATGGCTGGTGGAACCCATCCAGCATCTGCAAGGTCCATCCCTGTTTTCTTTCCCAAACATTTTATTTGGAAATCTTGTTTGGCAAACTTCCTGAGACTCTGCCTGGCTGTTCAAAGTACATATTTCCAATCTATTTCATTTGGCCCTTCTATAAAAAAAAAAAAGAACCAGCAAAATGCCTTCTGATTTGGCACAAAAATTTCAGCCACAGACTGAAGCAAGTTTTAGGTTCCTGGCCAAAAATTTACAAGAATTTTATCTTAGATGCTTCCATACTGGACTGTTTTACATAGTCATCATTAAAATCTGAAGCCTTCCCATCACAACAGGATCAAAGCCTCCCAATCTGTATCATCTGATAGCTTAACTTTGCCAAAAGTTCCCTCTTGTTCTTATTTTCCCAGACATTTCGTGTCCTAGCTATTGTAGACACTGTTCTTACTCAGACCGTGGGGTAGTGAGTAATTTAAGGAGAGCTACCTGGTAGAAAATGGCTCCATTCACTTGATGATGAATGAATAGATTACTTTTGAATGAATCATCTTTTTTTCTTTTTCCAGTAGATTGTGTAAAGAATTTTAAGCATTTAAAAAATAAAAACGCTTCCTATATTTGGGGAGTTCTAAAGAGGTCATACCGATAATTGAATTCTAGGTACAACTTCCATTATACTCTTAAAGACTTAGATTGGAAATTTCCATTTTGCATTCCCAGAACATTACTTCAAATTTCTCCTTAATGTAAATCAGGTTCCCAGAATTTCAACATTGAAAAGAAATACACTAATTGGCCTGGTCACAACTCACCTTCGCTATAGCTCGTTCATTTGGTATATAATCCCAAGGCTAATTCATGGAAAGCAGCTATTTAAAATGTACAGACATAAGGCAGTGTTTTTGTTATCCAATATATTGTTTTACTTCATCTCTCTTTCTCCTTCCCTTTTTAAGAAAATAATTCATTTATAGGGAAAGGTAGCACTGTACAAAAGTTTGCATGGCTGAAAAGTGTTTTCAAAGTTTTAACTTTTTTTCTAAAATTAATTCTTCACAACATTAGAAACTAAGTTAATTGACAGATGTATACGATGTGCTTTCTTCAAAATTCTAGATGTCATTTCCCACTCTTGGGAAACCTTTCAAAATATATGGTTGCCATTTCAGATCCAACTTTTCCCAGTCTAAAGATTCTCTCCCACTGGTTTCTTTTTTCTAAAATCCCAATCACTTGCTAAGTCCTCTAGAACATTCCTTTATAATATCTCTTCTCTTATTCTCCTTTCAGTTCCCACTATCACCATGCTTTTGCATTCCTCACTGATTCATTCAGATATCCATGTGTGTACCAATTCATTTATTCAACAATTCTTTGAGTGCCTGGTATGTGTGTACTCGTCTCTCATCTTTCCAACATTCCCCAGCCCTCATTCCTCATTCTGAAATGCCCTCTGCCACACTACTCATCCTTTAAATCTCAGTTCAAATGACATCTCCTTGTGCATTTTTCTTATTCTCTAACCCACGTGAGATTTTTTCTTACTTCTTCAAGTCTCTTGAACATTTTTATATCTCCCTTATCACAACACGAGAGAAATCCTGTCTGTGCCACTTACGAGCTGTGTGACTAGCTAGCAAGTGACTGTGGGCAAGTTATAGAACTAACTGAAGCCTCAGTTTCTCCTCCAAAATCAGGGATATTATTACTCCATAGGCTGTGAGCATTAAATGAGCCAGAGCATATAAAATACTTAGCACAATGCCTGGCATACAGTGAACGTTCATCAAGTTCTTGCTTGTTGTATTATTTTATGCAGTGGGGACTTAGAAATAGATCTGCTTTAATATTTGTATGTGGAAAGATAACAATTGTAATTGCCTTTGGTGTTTCTGAGGGGCTTAAGCCTATACTTACTTATGATCCTGGGTGGTAGGCCAGGGTCTAGCATCCTGGGCTGAACACACTGGAGCCATGCTGCTTAGCTTCATATCCTGGCCTGTACCATTTGCTAGCTCATTTTTTTTTTTTTTTAAGTGGGAAGCGAGGCAGATAAAAGTTTCTATGTCTCATAGGTAGCTGTTAAGATCAACTGAAAGTAAAACGCTTAGCAGAGTGCCTGGCCCATAGCAAGACCTCCATAAATGTAACTTGTCATTACACTAGAGGGGATCCAAAATGCTCTTTCATCTAATTCTAGGTGGTGAGAAAGGACTATTAAAATGAATGCATAATTCCCTGAATTATTGTCACATCCTTCTAAAAGGCTTTCCTGAGTAACATTTATCCCAACCCCACTCTAGCTTGCATCTGCCAGACTGACGAAAAACTCCCAAGTAATGCCTTGCATTATATCACTCTCCAAACAGAGGGGCCACATTCTCCACCCACCTGGACATCATCAACCCCTCTTCCAGCTTGCAGAGTGCTTCCTAATGGTTTCCCCTCCCCTGAAATGTTTTGCCTCATTTTCTCCCTAAATGTATCATTTATCCTCTGACACTGTACTGTCCTCCTACGTAGATAAACTCTCAAAGAGAGTTTTTCAAAGAAGTCATGCTCTTTTTCTGGACTTCTATCTTTCCTCGTATAGGTCAAGCCCTTCCCTGGCCTACACATCTAGAAGCACCCTCCCTGTCTGCATCCACCTTTCTGAGTTTAAGAAGCTTGCTCCTACCGCAGGCTCTCACTAACCTAGCCCTTCACCATCTCTCTGTCATCTAAATGCCTGAAGCATTTAGAGGTTTTACCTCGTAATTTGGCTATTAATTATAAATTGTCTTGCAGCGTATTTGCTATGTGTTTGTTTTGCCTCTCCAGAGATATTTCACTATCTTTTTGCTTCTTAGCTGTCTTTCTTTATTCGCTAATCCACAAAGCTCTCTGGATAATTTTCCTGGCCTGTCATGGTGACTGTGCCACTTGTTCCCTAGGTATTAGGACAAGGTTCTCGTTCCAACCAGGCTTCTGGGCTTGGCTTGCCTTTAACCTGATTATTACAGAAATGGTCTCTCACGAGATAGGCCCCTTGCTATTGGCCAAGTCTGTTTCTATACATCAGAAAGAATTTTCCTTCCTCCCAAACTGTATTTCTCCCACTTCTTAGAATAAATAATATCTGTATCTATAGCCAGCCTTACCTGATTGAAGCAGCACTAGGTTATGAGAAAGAAGCATGGACTTTGAAGTATTAGAGTTTGGGTCTGAATCTTGATTTTGCCACTTACTAACTCTATGACATTGGGCAAGTCA